GAAAGTACGAAGCTAACTCGCAGCAAAATGCCATTCCATTATGTGATACTATTATACAAACTACAAAATGCATATATACCCCAGCAGGGCCTCTTGGAGGGGCTGACCCAATTCGAGGGACAAAACCGCGCCCCAAAAACTAAAGCCAAATGAATGGCAGCCCACCCAGTATCTTGCCACCCAGCACGTGCTGCCAAATATATTATTTTGAAACGCCATGTGGGCTCGTCTCGCTGTCTCTCCGGCTGATTCAAGGGTGTTTTCTGGTTTGGTTTAAAAAATTTGGGTCAACGGTGCGTATGATAATTCTTGCATTTGTCTGTGGGAGCCGCAGGCATGGCAACAACAAACAACAAAGCCATTTGATTGAAATGTTGCACGAACAGGCGGCGCGAAGGGTAGTGTGGCTGGTAGGGTAGTAGGAATCGTGAATATAATTTGCCAAAATATGCCAAAAGAGCGAATGGTTTCTAGCTTAAACGTTAAACCCCGATTAGGCCATAAAATCCGTATAATTAGGACAGCTAATGCACAACAATGTTCAGTAATTTCTGGCTTCCGCCGGAAGTGTCCTCTCATAATTGCAAACTAATTCTGTGCTCCCCATTGTAAGGACATCGGATGGCGGGCAGGACGCGTATCCACATCGTGTGCAGCATGTTGACAACGCCAACGAAGCCTGACAGGATAACAAAGGCACAACAACAGCACCCGAGCTTCAACCACACAGTGACGTGCGACAAGCACGTGCGTCAAATTCATCATACGCCATGGTGACGCACCTGCCCCAGAGCCACCCTCTGAAACGGGGACAGGAGGGTGAGCCTGGGAGGGTCCACCTTCTGGCAATTATGGAGTTTTGCGTGCGTTTGTTTATGTAAATGTGGCAGAACAACAATAACAAGATAAAGATACTATATACTATATACTGGATACTAGATAAAACTGCAACTGCAAACTGTTCCCATTCCTATCTTGCAGATACTCTCGCCCGATTGGGACGCTTTCAATTTGTTCCTGCCACTGCGAGGAAGTGCAAAAGATTCCCAAACTTTGTCGAGATCCGAAAACACCCAGCAGACATTTTGGCACGTGTTGACACCCGCCCGGGTCACCTTGCTCGCCTTTGATCTATGCTAGCATCCCAGACTCTTGTTTTAACAACCTACCCGGGATTTTAAGCGATTTTTAATTAAAATTATAGCCCGGACAGCTGGCGCTCCAAACTAACTCCGGCCAGCCAGCGAAAACAAAAATGGATTATTAAAAAGGGGAAGGCAGAAAGGTTTCAAAAGAAGAAAACACCGTAAGATGATTTTTTACGAGCACAAGAACCCGCTCGATGACATCAAAATGATAAAGTCGAACAGTCGGACAAAGGCAGCGGAACGGGCTGAGAAACACTAAGGAACTGACTCAGCCAACTGCCTCAACAAATGGCGAAAAAAGCAAACATGTAAAATATACAGAACCCGATGATAAATCCGTATAAATAATGAAAAGAGGGGGGACTTATTCAAATGGCTAGAAGCAACCTGTCCGTGCCATTGATGAGCTAATAATTTGCGGCGAAAATAAATATGAGGGAACTGTAGACTCCAATCGACAGCAAGTTCTTTGTATGGCTGGTGGCTCAAAGGGATTGGCATTTTTGGAGGGGGGCGATAACTTATCTAAGGCAAACAGAAACCACCTCCATCAGTATTGGTATTACGATTCTATTCGGTTCTAACTGCTCTTGATGTTGGCTCCGTTTTTTACGCTGATAAAGCAATTTGTGGTTGGCGAGGCATGTTTGGTAATCGTTTTTGGGGTCAGTAGTTTGGTAATTGAAAATCACTCCGCCCATGAGCAGTCTACACCGAGCAAAATGGGTCAAATAATAATAACACAAGCTCGTGAAAGAAACGACCAGTCGAAAGCGCTGTTTATTGGAATTCCAGGGAATGACAAACTGCGAGATATGATAAAGCCAAATGATGGAGACACAACAATCAGACACAAAGATAGAACAGTTTGTCTAGGAATACAGGCCAACCATTGGAAGACGGGCCCAAACCGAAAGAAACTCTTAAGACTTGCAAAAAATCTACGAGGTAGAACTGATGAAGCTCAACTTATAGTAGTATTCTGGCTGAGTCATGAATAAGGTTGATGGCAATATAACTATCTACGAGATAGGATTGATGGAGTTCACGTTTGAGAAGTTGTGATTTATGAACAAGGTTGATAACCTTTTCAACTTTCTTTCGCCAACTTAAATGGCAGTTAAAGCCTCATATTATTTAAAACCATTAGTCGAACCTTTTTCAAAACCTTTGCATAATCATAACGCTTATTAATGATATTTACAATTATTTTATTTAGCTTTTTGCACCTTTTTCCCGTTTGAATAATCAATCTCATTGACAACCCGAACAGTTTCCGCCTCTGTGGTGTTGATAGCCCAATGATAACTTCAAAGAGCCATGTAAATGATATTTTCGGTTGTAAGCTGTGATAAATGATACATGGACTTTGGGGAGGGGAGGTGTTTTCCCAACAAGAGATGTTTACAAAAGTTATCTTCGAGTTGATGGGTGTGTGTTTTGGCCCGGGAAAGTTGTTGGATCCCATGGGATTATGCTGATGAGAAAGAGAGCCGAGACCGAGGCCCGGGTCAACCGAAAAGGTTAACGAAAAAAGTTTGGCCCAACAATCGAGAGCTATGTTATGTTTTGTTTGCCAAACTTTCCATGGCTATCGGTGTCTGATGTGGATCTGAATTGGCATTTAATAAACTGTCATTACTACTGGGGGGGCTCTTGAAAAGGGATACATCCAAAGAGTTTTGACAGCAGTCAGCATAGCATATGAATTTGCTTCGTAGACAGCCGGAATTATTTGCAATTTGTCAACGATAGGCGACGCTGAAACCAGCTGAAACCCGATGCCCCCATCCGACACTACTTCTTGTTTATTTATTCCCGTCTGGGTCCCGAACTTTGGGGACAGCTGAGACGGCCATAAAAGCGGAAGGAGCTCACAATCTCGGCCGAAAATCAATTTCAGCATCTTCTGTTTTAACACTTCAACGAGCAGCTAGAACAAAACCGAAGGAATCTAAAACTAATTTAAATAAAAACCAATCTGGCATAATTCGCTGCCTGTGTGCCTACGACGACAAACTTTCGAAGCCGTAGAACGAACGATTTTCATTTTTATGGTGACCTCCATTCATGTTTTCGCTTTCGCTGAACTTGGTTGGAAATTATAGGACAGGGAGTAGGAGGCGCTCCAGACCATCCAGACCAGCCATGTGGCTCTCGAGTATGAGGTCTGTCTCTGCATGCTGATGACTATCCGAAAATCCAGGGAGCGGATCCTTAAGCCCCAACACCCATCATCCGAGCGTGGAAACAAAGCACAACACACATAAAAATGTGTAGGCAAGAGATAAGCAAACATTTCCTTGCCTTTCCTTTATTTTCCTTTGGGCCTTCTGACAATGGAAAGCGAAAGTGTCAGTGCCTCTGCTTTTAGGCCTTGGCTGGGAAGTGTCCGCAGCACGATGCTTTCCTCGCACAATAGAATCGTCTATATATAGAGTCGCCAGTCGCTAGTTATGAGGTTAAATAAAAAAAACTTGCTTCGGACCATAAAAAATTACAATAAAGAGCAGTGGCAGCAGTAGAACAGACCGCAAATTGCAAATACGAATAAAAATGGCTGGAAGACCTCGAGGAATTTATATTCCCCGCAAATAGGAGTGCAGGGTATACTGCGGGTATTTAATAAATTGGGTCAGGAAATGGGTAATCCAAAATATATATGTTTAGTCCATAGGTTAACAATAGATAGCCTGGCAAATGTTTCCCGAAGCTAACATGTCTTTATATATTTCCTCATACAGTTCTAGTATACCTTCTTCTCACTGATCTGATGGTTTTCCTTCTGGCTTTCTCTGGCTCGTTCTGTCGGGAAATTAATTTGCGGCATTCCATGGTTTACGCATTTTCATTTACTTGAATGGAAATTAATTAGCCACGCAGGGCTCTCGAATGCGAGATGTGGTTCGCCAGCCAATAACCTCAGATGCTGCTGGCTTGGCCAAGAAATTAGATTCTCCTCGCTGCAAATGAATCTCAATATTGGACTCAGTTTTGTTTAATTAAGGAGGAGTTTGGTTATTTAATGGGCAGTCTTCAAGACAGACAATATATCTATACGAATTTATGATCTTTTTTCAGTGCATCGACCCTGGAGTTGAATTTGCATAAAGCTCTTATCAGCTCGTGACTAAAGCCCCGTACAGAATTGATAAACTGGTCGTTACTCCGCCGAACTCTATAAAGCCTTTCGCCAATTTGCAAAAACCGCACAATCCAACCCCTTTCCAGACTCCTCCCATTCACGCCCCCAAACATATGCCCCCGAAAATGTGAATGTGTGGCAGGCGTGGAGTCCCCTCGTTTTATGGGCTGATAAAAGGACTTGGCAGCAATCAAAAACCGCAAAACATGTTAACCGTTAATGCCCCCAGACACCTATAGAAGAGTGCTCAGTCCCTTTCCGGGTCCCGGGCCGGGTTCCTGGGTCCTGGCCATAAATGCGCCAAATATAAATTATATTTAAACAAAATAAAAAGGCAACACCCGAAAGGGACCATCCGGCTACAGGCCGTGTCCTTTTCCGATCTCAATAATTCAAAACAATTTCGTTTTATTGCCGAAAAGTTTTCAGGCGGCTTTTCATTGTTTGGCTCGCACCGAGGGCGTCCTGTGGGGGTGGAATCCTCCAAGCTCAGTTTAACCTCAACAAAGGCATATTGACCCTCGACCCTTGGCCCTCGGCACACGGTCAACCCTTTTTAGCTACAGCGAGGGTCGCGTGAAAGCCAACACATAAAATGCAAGTAGCGGAATTGAAGTGCACACCGAGAAATGGTTCAGGCTGCGGGGTATGAGAGTATCCCACAGTTGGGGAATAAAATCGAATGTGGGGAATCCCCCGCCACTTACCTCTGTTCGGTCCACTGCAGGTCTGATGAAGATGAACGGGTTCGTAATCCTTTTAGCGCCGGTCTAATGAGAAATTCCTCCACAATAACTGCACACACACACTCCACTTGGCCGGAAAGGATGCCCGTGCCCACACACCCGCACACTCGGCGATTTAATTATCCCAAAAAAGGAGAGTGTGCCACTGAATATCCTTTATAAAAAATGTCGCGGTCCAGATAAGGTGGCCTCCGGATCGGGAACTTTGTGAATTGTATTTTAATTTAATCAAATGTCGTACAGATTCAATTGACACACAGACACTTTAGCATTTAATTAGTAGAAATGCTGCTGGTGTTGCTCTTGTTGTGGTATTGCTGTTGCTGTGATAGCGTGATAAACGGCACCAAACACCCGCGAGATACAAGATACGACGAACTCGGATTTCGGATTTCGATACTCGGAGCAGCCGCAACGTCCGTAGAGCGTTGAATTCCAAAACAGAATGCCAGTCGGTCTGAAAGCATGAATCGCTTCTGCCTTGTTCCCAGCAAGCGGTTCACAGTCAGGCCTCGAGTGGCTGGACGGAGAAGCGAAGGGGGTTCCACTGTACGAAGACCGAACCCGAAGCCCAGCACTCGGCCCGTTCGACTGCTGAGAGCCGTGAGAGCTAATTTCTCTCGGTTGCTACCTACACTGAGAAAAAATGGGATACATTGTCATTGCAAAGATAGTAAGAAAAGTTTCAAAAATTATTTGTGTGATAATATGGTCTGGCTTTCATGCTTTAATAATAGAAAAACTTCTTTTAAAAATAATATTTGTTAAAAGTATCTGAGATACTCTTGCCAGAGAGTATCTGAGAGATACACAGTATCTGCTTCAAACCCGCAATTCAAACATGTTCGAGGGGTGGTTGGAACCAACCTTAACCCATGAACGAATGTGTTTTGTGTGAAAACACATATTCTCAACAAATATTGGAGTATTTATCTGATTCTTCCCAAACCACTATGTAGATTTTATTTATTTTTGGATTAAAATATTGTTTAAATACGTAATTCTCAAGGTCACTATCACGAATGAAACACATGAATCTTATCATCACTTTTTCCCGCAAACTTCCCGCATCATCCCACCATCTGGAATCCATAAGTGATAGATTTTCTAGAAAATAGTTATCTGAAGTACCAGAACCGGCGCCTCCTGTTAATGAAATCCTTTTCGGCTAAACCTTTTATGACCACTCGGAACTGGGACAATTTTCACATGTTCATTAATAAATCGACGCCATAAACAGTAGCTGCAAATTATTTAAATGGGCCTTCGAGAAGGGCGGCGAGTGATGGAAAATCGGCTCAGAATTGAATGTAATTAAAACCCTGGCCTGCCAGAGGACAAAGGGCAAGTGTCCCGGCTGTGAATGTTTTTGCAGGCCAAAAACAGAGAGGGCATTAACAATAGCCCCTGGCAACGCAATCTCCTCTCAAGGCACTTGAAGAAAAAGGTTATAGGATAGATGTTCTTAGATAGTAAGAACTAAAAAAACTATTCATAAAAATACTTAATTAAGTAACCCCCCCAGGCTCCTGCTGATTCTTTCAAGAAAGTACTCCCTCAAGAACTACTTTTTTTCCCGTGTAGGGGTTGTGTTGTCAAGACAACCACCTCGACATCGACACCGGCATTGGCCAAAGCAATTGACAATTTTTCCAGCAGGTAACCGAGAAGGTAAAAGCAGCCAAAACAAAACGCGACACGCTGAAACCTCGAATATTTCGAAATAAAGTAAAATCCGCACTAAAAGGAAGGAAAGGAAACAAGGACGAGTATCTGCACCTGCGTAAGGAGCGGAAAATTGGAAGACAAGTGCCGTGCAGTGCGGATTTTCGCGGAAAACCAGGAAGTGGGCAGGAAAAAGGAACTGAATAGCTCGAGAGGACTCCCGCAGCTAGAGAGGCAATTTGAATCCGAATCGCAGAACCCACGCAGCTGGCCATGAACTTCTACGACGAGGAGATCAACATCAGTGGTCCTGATACGAAGCACCTGAGCAGTGTCCAAATGGAGCAGCGAAATGGAGTTCCGGGGGGCAGCCGAGGGGCAGGCAGTGGCGCCAGCGGGGCGGCTGGCAGAGGCGCCGGGGCAGGAGGCTCACAAAGAGCAGCGGCCGCCAGGACACGTCGACTGGTATGTTATTTATGGAAATGCACTTGAAAAAATTATTGGCATGAAAGGATAAAAATATAAAAATTCTTCCAGGAACTCCATGGAAACTCCACGGATGATGACGGTCTGCTGCAGGACATCATCGACCACGATGACGAGGCGGAAGACAGTGACGACGACGACGACAGCGAGATGCAGCTGCCCCAGGGCATGACCATGGGCGTGGGGATGACGGGCTTAGTGCCCGGACCCGGTACTCGCACCCAGAAACGACCGGGGAGTAGCAGACATCTCCAGCAAGGGCCACCGCATGAGGATCCCCTCAGTTCGGGAAGCGAGGAAGGAGCTGCGGGAGGCTTTCGAGGATCTGGCGGAGGAGCTGCCAAGCTTCCGCACCAGAAGCTAACCCTGCCAATGAGGAGCAGTGCAGGCGGTAGATCCGAGCAACAAGAGGAGCAATTCAGCTTGACACCCGACAAGTGGGAGGATTTGTCGCTGTCAGTGGAGCTCAAGGAGCTGTTTCCCTACATCCTCAAGTACACGCCCCAGACTATCGATACCCCGTTTCACCTGCAACCCTTCATCCCGGAGTTCGTCCCTGCCGTGGGAGACGTGGATGCCCTTCTCAAGGTCCAGGCGCCACCACTCCTGCAGCCCCAGCGGCAGAGGGAGCTTGACGACCATCTGGAGAAACTGGGCCTGTGGCTGCTTGACGAACCCTCTGGCGCCCAGTCCGAACCATCCCTGTTAAATATGAAACTGCGCTCCGTCCTGAGTGGCAGCCGGGGAAGAAACCCGAGGCACGCCTCCTCCGCCTCGAAGATTCCCACGGCACGATCGGGCAAGGACATAGACAAGTGGATCGCCGAGGTGGAGCAGGTGCACATGACGCAATCCATGTACGATGCCCAGCCCAGGAAGGATATCGATGCCCTGCTCGAGGATTGGCCACGGGCCTTTGGCGAGGCGGAGACCAAGAGTGCTCTGGATCAGGCCTACAAATCCTGCCTGCAACAGGATATATCCTTGGCGGACTATGTGAGGGTTCTGTGCGAGAGGTTTGGAGTGGAGGGGCCGTTGGAGTCGCAGGCTGACTACATCCACAATGTCCAGACCCTCTTTGCACTCTATTTGGCCGCCAGTCAGGCGTGGGAGTAGCATATCCTACTCATATAATTCAGGATCTTAATATATATTCATAAAATATCATAATTTTAATTAAAATATAATGTGTTTTTCTCACAAAAACAAGTCTCAGTGCATGCTTTTGTACCTGCCCCACTAATAACGCTAATGGCTTCGATTAAGTGACAGCCAGACGGCGCTTGTTTGTTCCTCGATGGAGATGTCCTTTCTTCTCCTTCTCCCTCGCTCCTGCGGCATCTCCGCGTTCTGCCTCTCGTTCTGCTGTGCCAGGTCCTGGCATTAAATCGCTTGGAAAACGGTCAGCCCATAATAACCGGGTTGTTTGATTTGGTGTCGCGGGGAAGATTGAAGAGGGGTCCTGCAAAGGCGGGCGAAGGTGAAGGAGTTACACTAATGGGGAAAATGGGGTAACCAATCAACCTCTTGACAGAATCGCATCTGCAAATGTCATTTTCAGAAGCTCAAGGGCACGGTTTCATACGTTTTATCAATTTATTGTGAATTATTTATCTTACTCGCAAAAAATCATCTAAACAATGGGGATGTGGGGGAGTTTGATTCTCCATGATTCCTCCGATTCTGGAGCAGAATACCCTTAAATGTTTCTAGATTAATTCTCTATTAATTAGCGTTAAAATATTAAACCATAAATATTTTTCGATTTTTTCGGGAGAAATCCTTTGGAAAATGTTTTTAAATTTATTTTGAAACTTTTTTTGGTTGGGTTCAGGCAGTCGATCTTATTTTGTTGCTCCACCCACGGTCTAATTGGACCTGATTAAGATATTGGCGGGGCCAAAAGCAAGGCCCGTGTTTGATGGTCAAATCCAAAACGCCAAATCTGCCGGCAACGGCCTTAATTATGCGTAATGCGAACGCCACAAGAGCCCATTAATGTCATTTTCAAGGCATCGGAGGATGGCTTGTCAGTCCCATGATTATCGGATAATTTTCGAGCTTCGCGGCTAATATCTTACATACTTTTAAATGTATTAAAAAAATAATATTTTCTCGATCATTAATCATAATAAAATATTAGTTAAAAGTAATAGTTTACCACATACTACTTTAAAATAAGTAGTTTCGTGAACTAAATTAAGTTCGCTTTGGAAAAAAATTTTCGTTTGGTTTTATATGAATTTTATAAACAAAAAATAAAATTTTAAATCTTACTGATTTAATTCTTAAGTTATAACGAGTTAAATAATTCTGTGAATTATGATGTCTTGCGATCTAAAAACTTTAAATTATCCTACATTATTATATATCTTATACATTATATTATCTTACATACTTTTAAATGTATTACAAAATAATATTTTCTCGATCATTAATCATAATAAAATATTAGTTAAAAGTAATAGTTTACTACTTACTACTTTAAAATAAGTAGTTTCGTGAACTAAATTAAGTTCGCTTTGGAAAAAAATTTTCGTTTGGTTTTATATGAATTTTATAAACAAAAAATAAAATTTTAAATCTTACTGATTTATTCCTTAAGTTATAACGAGTTAAATAATTCTGTGAATTATGATGTCTTGCGATCTAAAAACCTTAAATTATCCGCCAACATCGAACATTTTAGTACATATGCCGATAACATACACGTGTCGTGTGTATCGATAAAGTTACATCCCTAAGGAAAAACCAAAACAAAGTCGCATCTGACCCAACTTGTTGGAATCGAGAGTTTTCATCACAGAAAAAGACTAGTCCGCAATGTACGAAGCTAGTTGCCGATACTGCGAGTTGGGAATAGAGGATGACAACTACCTGGACTGCATAAAATGTCGAAGAAGTGTCCATATCAAGTGTCTGCCACATGCAAGCACCCCGGGAGACCTTCTGGGCGATGTCTTTTTCGACTTCACGTGCGTCAGATGTGTGAGGGAGCAGCTTAAGAAAGAGGAGGAAGAACCCGCTCCAGATTCCGTGAAGGAAATCTGTGTGAGGCAGAAGATTCCCTGGTTACTAGTGATAACACTGACGCTCTACAATCTTTCCATCAAACAAAAGGGACTGGGACACCATGGATTCTTTCACTGGCGGACGCACATCATCAGCTTCGTGGACAAAAACTGGAACTACATCTTTGGTTCAAATATGTAGGTGAATAGATTTATAATGTAGTTTGTTTGCTTATATCCATCTTCATGCAGTCGGCGGAAAAAGCAGTGGACTGGGACGGTTTCCGGAGCTCTGTCCCACAACAACCCGGAGTACTTTCAGTCGGGTCTGGACGTCTTCAAGGACCACGGATGGTGGAAGCTGGCCAAGCCTTTTACAACCCCCAGGAGTGTTCTTAGAGAATGTAAGTGAAAATAATAAACCAGACACTGTTTTAAGACCTAACTTTTCAGATGAGAAGAAGCAACTCCAGCGCCAGCAGCTGCGCGTGGAGAAGCGTTTTCCTGCTCTGGATGAAAATAGCTGTAGCAGCGAAATCTCTGTTACAGATCACACAGAGGACAAATTCAGAATATCAACCAACGATAATGAATGGGGGAGCAGAGGCGAAGGGTGTGCCCGTCTTATGTAAGGACGTTTAGCCTTACAGTATAAACAATTATAATTTATTATTATACAATTAGTAAACAATTATGCTTTATTGGTATTCGTTCCAGTCCATTTATGGGACGTCAGCCGAGGGTTCTGGGGTTGGCCTCACCTGAGTCGCAGCAGCCTGTGGCTGTTCCTCCAGTTCCAGTTCCAGAAACTCGGAACACAGAGTACCAGGGGGAAGAAGAGTCGGAGGCAACCCAGCAACCCTTGAGCAGCGTCCAAGCCAGCTTGATGGATTTTTTGGCTGAGAGTCTGGGAGGCGACGACCTCAGCATATTTGGCAGCCTTCCCGGCATAATGCCACCACCCTTAGTTGGAGCAGGAAAATCGGATTTCTTTATGAATGACACCCTACTGGAGGCTCCTACCCCCACTGAAGGCCTGTTCGATTTTGGCATTCCCAGCTCAATAGATGAAGCTAAGGGAGGTAAACTGATCAAGGAGGAGCAAAATGATCCAGAGCCCAAGGATCAGGAGGATGAAAAGATAGAGGACGATGGCGGGGAGGATGAAGACGAAGAGTCATCCAATTACCAGCCACGCATTGTCCAGGTCACCAATTACCAGGCTCAGCAGCAGAATCAGACGATTAAAGCCGAGCCCATGGAGGAGGAAGTGGAGGATGAAACTGAAAAGGAAGAACTGTACTCTATAGAGCCCTGCCTACCAAGTGGTTTTAGCCGCAACCCCCGCAGAAACTGGCCATGGCTTCAGGAGACCCAGGACTCGGACGACGTATCCATCCCCTCCGAAAATCTCAGGCTAATGAGTGTCCAAGAGGAGCAGAAATTGCTCGATACGTTGCACAGAATCTTATCCTTCGAGAAGCAGTGCCAGATATCCATACCCGCCTACGTGCGACGGCTTTACAGAAAACTCTCCCTGCGAAAATGGAAGAGAGAGCACAATCGGCCCATTTTTAACCTGGACGACCACATCGATCCACTGGGCAGGGCCCGGTTAAAGAGTCAGTCTCACAAAGTACTGGACAGGTACCACCTTCTGGCCCACTCCCATCAAAGTGCGAGAAGTTCCTTCCACGCCCGCCTGGCTGGATGCACTCAGTATGAGCTCTTTGAGTCGCCCTACTCGAAGAGGGTTCTGCACCCCTTCATCTTTCGCAGCGAGACCTTAGCTCCTCCGTGGCTAAAGCTCATGTGCGAGCTGCAGCACCGAGTGAACCAGACGCACCCCACGAGGTCCACCATAGACTTTTGCTACGTGAGGCCGCAACACATCCCGGCGGTGAATGCGCTGCTGCAGAGCTCTTTTTGGCCCAATATCGATGGTGAGTGCCTAGGACATCTCTCCTCTGGCCTTGTGAGCTGATGTATCCTTCTCTGTTTCAGTAAGCGAGTGTCTCACCTATCCGGACTACAGCGTAGTCGCGCTCTACAAGAAGCTGGTCGTCGGATGCGGGTTCCTGGTTCCAGATGTCGGCTACAACGAGGCCTACATCTCCTTCATGGCCGTGCGCCCGAACTGGCAGAGGAGCCGCATTGCCAGCTTCATGCTGTACCACCTCATCCAAACGTGCTCGTCCAAGGACATCACCCTACATGTGTCCGCCAGCAACTCCGCGGTGATGCTGTACCAGAAGTTTGGCTTCAAGATAGAGGAAATCATCCTGGACTTCTACGACACCTACTTGCCACTGGACTCGAAGCAGAGCAGAAACGCTTTCTTTTTAAGATTACAAAGATGAAGGGAGTTTAAATAAATCCCGTGATCACAGACTGGATTCTTTTCAAAAGGATAATTTGGATGCCTAGTGCCGATCCAACTTTATTTTACTTTATCTTAAGCCTAAATTCATTTGTTAATGTTTGACGGCCAACCTTCTAGGCGAATATCTTCTCTTCCCTGCGCTTCTTGGTGACCACAGTGCCCGGCTTATGCTGCGCCTCGGGGTGATTCATGAGCTCTGGCGGGCACACCGACACCGGACTGGCTGTGACGCACTGCTTCAGGTCGTAGAACAGGGCGCTGTCGTCCTTGGTGACGAAGGATATGGCCACACCGTTCTTGCCAGCACGACCCGTACGACCGATACGATGCGTGTAGTCCTCGATGGACTTGGCCATGTCGTAGTTGATGACCAGGGAGACGTCCTTGATGTCGATACCACGACCGGCAACATCGGTGGCCACCAGAATGTCCTTTGCGCCGGACTTGAGCGCGGCCAAAGCGTATTCACGCTGCTCCTGGCCCTTGCCACCGTGCAACGTACAGGAGTTGTAGCCCAGTTTCTCCAATCCCTTGGCCAGGACGTCGGCACCCTTTTTCTGGTTGACGAAAATAATAACCGGTGGATCGATGGAGCGCGAGAGGATCTCCATGAGCTTCTTGCGCTTGTCGTTCTCGCCCATCATGTACACGATCTGTTCCGTGCGTTCCGTCGGCTTGCCCACGGATCCGATGTAGACCGTGGCCGGTCGCCGCAGATAGGATCGCGCCAGTCTCTCCACAGCCGGAGGCATAGTAGCCGTGAACATCACCGTTTGGCGGTACTTCTTCTTGGTGTAGAAGTTCTCCATCAGCTTGTTCTCGTCCTCGGCCTCCTCAGTGTCGGGCTTGAGGTTGGAGACAGGCATGTACTCCAGGATTTTCTGAACGTCCGGCTCGAAGCCCATGTCTATCATGCGATCAGCTTCGTCGAGGACGATGTACGTGCACTGGTTCAGCACGAGATACCGATTTTCCAGCACATCAATGAGACGACCCGGCGTGGCGATGACTATTTCGCAGCCCAAGCGGAGGCGGAAGCCCTGCTCCTCGCGAGAGAGACCTCCCACGACCACCACAGTGCGGATGCCCAGGGGTTGCCCAAACTTGGTTGTCTCCTCCTCGATTTGCTGCGCCAGCTCACGAGTGGGTGCCATAATTATGGCATATGGACCCTGATCCACATCCTCCAGACGCTCGATCTTCGGCAGCGATTGGATCCAGGACAGAAGAGGGATGAGGAAGGCCAGTGTTTTACCGGATCCCGTCTCAGCCACGCCGATGATGTCTCTATTCTGCAGACCAATGGGAATAGCCTGCCTCTGAATGGGTGTGGGTTCCTTGTAGCCGACCTTGTCAATGATGTCGATGATCTCCCTGGGGAAACCAGATTCGCTCCAGCTCCGGATCGGATTGGGGATCTTGCCGCCCTTGATGGTGATATTGTAGTCCTCCCGGAAGATACGCCAATCTCGCTCGGTCATTTCGTCGTTGTCCTTTTCGGACCAGTGACGATCATCCCACTTCTGTTTGTCCTCCTTGCGCTTCATCTTCTTCAAGCGCACCTTCTCCTGCTCCTTCTCGGCCTCTGTCCGCCTCTTCTCGAGAAGATCTCCATAAAACTTGCTCTGAGTGCGCTTTTGCTCCTTGATATCGATGCCTGCCACATTTCCCCTGCCGAAGAACTGGACGTGGTGACGCTCCTTGTACAGATTGTTGTAGTCGATGGACGTGTCTTCGCCGGCATCCCAGTCAAAAACGAATTTGCGGTCGTTGAGGCGGCGAACGCGCCTCTTCTTCTTTATGATTCCCAGGTATCGTTCCCGAATGGCTTCCAGTTCCTTCTCTTTATCCTTGTGGGTCAGTTCTTCGGTGCGCTTTTCGTCTCCCCCTCTATCGCCCCTGTCGCCTCTGTCGCCACGATCCCTGCCCCTCTCTCTGCGGTCTGGCTTGGGCGGAGGAGCTGCTACGGCCGGCGGCGGGGCTCCGGAGGCCATAGCCGTGCCCATGGAGATGCTCACCTTGTTGGCGTTGGCCATCTGTTCGCGGGCTGCCTCCTGGACAGCCCTCAGCCGCTCCACCTCCTCCTGACGCCGCTTGAGCGCCTCCTGAGCCCTCTGCTCTTTGGTGAGGAAAACTGGCTTGCTCCGGGCCTGCTCCTCTTTTTTCTTTTTGTCCAGAAGTTCCTCCAAGGAAAGGGGCTCCTTTTTCAGCTTCAGGTCCTGTTTTTCATCGTTCATATCATCATCGCTTACGATTAAGGGCTTCGACGATGAGTCGGTTATGTCCAACTTGGCTTTTTTATCCTGGAAGCCTCCGCCTCCTGACCCTCTTTCTCTGGAGCGCTCCCTCACATTATCCCTGGGCCTAGGGCGATCGGGGGAGCGGCGCCTGCCGCGGTCCTCCCTAGAATTGATTTGTTAGGTATTTCACAATCATTGAAAATTAGGAAAAACTTACCGGGAACGCGAACGCCGCTGGCGTCTGTCCTTCTCCCTCTCCCGTTCGTATTGGCGCTCCCTGGCGCGGTCCCTGTCCCAGTCCCGTTCCCGGGCACCCCCAGCTGCAGGACGATCGCGCACCGTACGCTCCCTCGAACGCGAGCGACGTTTCTTATCATTTACCATTGTTTTCCGCTAATATGAAAATTGTAAACGTTTTCGGCTTCCACAACAAACAGCTGACTCGACTAGTGTTGGATAAGATAATAAATCGAAAATGGAATCGTAATCGTATTTTAAAGAAATCGATAACAAGCCCGCTAATTGGCATAATACTTGAAAATAATGTAATATAAAGAACCTCCAAATAAATAAATTGTTTACCCAAACGGCTTTTGGTTCATTGCCTCCCAATTATTTTCTGCTAATAGCTTTACTAAAAAATATGTCTTTAAGTAGTTCCTCTTCGAAAAATTATCAGTTAATTAAACAATGTTATTGAAACTAATCAAACCCAGACGCGACAATGACATCGCAAAAACCTTAGGTTTTTATCTTGCAAATTAAGTTATACACTTGGCTCAATCATTTCAGTTTGCTCTTTCTTTAATAACGTTGCTTTTCACTTTCCACTAATAATCATTAATAATATGCATATACATATAATTGGATATATTTTGACATTTAGTCGGTATAGAATAGGGCGGAAATGTTAATTCCCTGGGAGAATTGACTCTTAACGAAGAGGGTCGCAAAGGTGAATCCAGGTCCGCCAGACCACAGAGTGGTAGTGGGTCCGGAGCTGTTGGTGAATCTGTCGGTTACGTTGATGAAGCGGATGATTTTGGTGTTGGTCTGGCCCTGTGAGTAGATTAAAACTTGTTTTAGGTTACAATTTATGAATCAGTAGCAGACACTCACGCTCAAGGGGAAGACAATAGTTCCGTCCTGGTAGGTGTTGTTCTTCTTGTAGATTGTCAGGTTCTGGGTGCTGGCCAGCTTGCTGCTCGACAGCTTGGAGCCAAAGGAGGCATTGGCAGCAAAGGCCAGAGCCACAATGGCGGATAAAACGAGAGCAACTTGCAGGGTCTTCATGGTAGAAGCTTTCTTCAGTTATAGAAAAATTGGCAATAACGTTGACAGTTATATACCCGGACTTATCATAGAAAAAGAGAAGTATTTCTTTATCAATTCTAAAGAATAATATATTTAAAGACTTTCAGGACTTATCAGTAGCTATTCGCTTTGTCATTTGTTGGTGGTTCCTCCTATCTATATTAAGAAAAGTTTAATTGCTGATATGTATTAATAAAATAAAATGTTTTTCCCAAAGAGATAAATTCTGTTAAGAGTAGATTATCTAGAAACGGGAATGTGTCAGTAGATTAGAACTAAAGAGAGCTATCAAAGGAAACAAATTTAAATGTAAAAATAATGTAAAAATATGTAAGTGTAAGATGTAATATGTAATGTAAAATGTAGAAATAAAATTTCTTTAGAAAAGTTTACCCTCAATTTAAGGATTTTTGAATATATTGTAGAAAGGGTTTTCTAAATTTTAGGGCGCCTTGTCCTGGGGTACTTTCTAAAACCTAGAAAAAAAACCCTAAATTTAAAAATTTTTTTTCTATGTTTTAGAAATTGTTTTCTTATTTTTAGGGCCATTTGCCCTACATTTTAGAATCGAAATGCCATTAGTTTTAGAAAAATTTACCCTAAATTTTATGGTGCGGTGCCATTGAAGACAAAAATAGGCCGAATTTCTAAATCTTAGGGTTAATGTAATTTTGAGTGTACATATAATGGGATATATTTTGACATTTAGTCGGTAAAGATTTGGGCGCTAACGTTAATTCCCAGGGAGAATTGACTCTTAACGAAGACGGACACAAAGGTGAATCCAGGGCCGCCAGACCACAGAGTGGTAGTGGGTCCGGAGCTGTTGGTGATTCTGTCAGTTGCGTTGATGAAGCGGTATATTATATATAAAACTTAAAAGTACCATATATTAAAACTTGTTTTAGGTTACAATTTATAAATCAGTAGCAGACACTCACGCTCAAGGGAAAGACAATAGTTCCGTCCTGGTAGGTGTTGTTCTTCTTGTAGATTGTCAGGTTCTAGGTGCAGACCAGCTTGCTGCACGACAGCTGGGAGCCAAAGGTGGCATTGGCAGCAAAGGCCAGAGCCACAATGGCCAACGCCACAATCCATGGTAGAAACTTTCTTCAGTTATAGAAAAATTGGAAACAACGCTGTTATTGATATAACGCTGTAAGTTATATACCCGGACTTATCATAGGAAAAGAGAAGTATTTCTTTATCAATTCTAAAGACTAAAAAATTTAAGGACTTTCAAGACTTATCAGTAGATATTCGCTTTGTCATTTAGTTGGTGTTTCCTCCTATCTATATTAAGAAAAGTTTAATTGATGATACAGTAGCGGACAATGAAATCCGGACAGGCAGAAAATACTACTTTTTTAGTTTTTTTTTTCAACCATCGTTTATTTTATGGAGTAAATTTGTTTTAAATCGATGAAATTAATATAAATGTTAATTCAAAACGTGTTCTTTTAAATTACATTTTGTTTTATTTGGAAATAAAACGTATACTTCAATATTCGATGGAATTAAACATAAAATGTAGGCAAACAAAAAAAATTTTTTTTTAACTATTCCAAGGTAACAAAAAATTTTTAAAAATTATTTCTTAGCTTATTCAAAAATAATTTTGTTTTGGTTCTTTAGTATTTATTTGGTCTTCCTTAAGTTTTTAATACGGCCTTTATTCTTGATGGCATAAAATCTACCAAGTTTTCGTTAGTTTTCATAATTATGTCTTAATCTTAATTATAACCGACTCTTTCCACTGTCAAATTAAATTCTCTTATTTTTTTGGTTTCTTTTTATGTATTTTAACTTTTAAAATAGGCCAACGATTTTGAATCGGATAGAAATCAGGACTACTGCCCGGCCTGTCTAATGTTGATATTCGATTTTTCTGCAAATAATTTATTACCTACATTTAAAAAAGAATACTTAAAATTTAAAACTTTAATTGACTTTATGGATATAAAGACTGCTTATTGTGTCTATTATGCCTGTAATTAAAAAAAAAAAATTATAATTATACAAAAAAATAAATTTTTAAAGTAGGTTCAACCCTTTAAAGAAATGGCGCTCGATATCGATAGACATATAGTTGAAACTCGATAACAGATATACTGGAATTTTAGTTTTATCAAAGAGTGGTAACCCCAGAAACCAGCTGGAGGAGAAAAAGCTTTGTTTTCCTTGCGATAAAAATTTTAAATCAGTTTTCAAACCCTGTCTGACCGCACCACTCACATCGAGATGAGCGTGGCCACGGACCAGGAGACGGCGCCCATCGCCAACTCGCGGAATGGTCGCACGGGCAGCGTTTTCCGGAGCTTCGGGTCGCTCTTTGGCGGCAGCCAAAACAGCGGAGACCAGCAGCCGGGCGACGGATATGTGGAGTTCGGGATGCAGAATCCTGAGCGGAACGGCCGTACGCTGGGCACCTTTGCCGGCGTTTTCAGCCCCGTGGCACTGTCCATGTTCAGCGCCCTGGTCTTCATCCGAGTCGGTGGGTTTCTCTTCACCCCGGTGACGTCACACCGAACACTTGTTGTGCTGGTCCATTGAACTTGCTCTCGTCTATTCTTCCCTTTGTGTATACTAGGCTACATTGTCGGAAATGCGGGTCTGTACGTCACGCTGCTGCAGTTCGTCATCGCCTACGCTATTCTGCTCTTCACGGTGGCCTCCGTCTGTGCGATTTCGACCAATGGAGCCATCGAAGGAGGAGGCGTCTACTGTGAGTCACTGATGATTTTGGTGTTTGTCGAGGCTTCCACTAAAATGAGATTCCATTTATCTGTTCCATAGTTATGATAAGCCGCACTCTTGGCTTGGAATTTGGAGGCTCCATTGGTACGCTCTTCTTTTTCGCCAATGTGGTGGGATCTGCCATGGCCATCTCCGGATGCACTGAAGGCATCCTGGACAACTTTGGCGAAAACGGATACTTTGGCAAGTACCTAAAGGATGGCCCATGGTGGTGTTTCCTCATCAGCAGCCTGCTGAACACCCTCCAGTTGCTGGTCTGCTTGGTGGGGGCTGCCCTCTTCGCCAAGACGTCAGTGATAATTCTGGCCATCGTGACTGTGTGTCTCTTCGTCACGTATGTTAGTTTCCTGTCCGTAGGCGCCACCAATGATACGGTAAGATCTCCAATCCCCCCAACCGGGGGGAAGTATTTCTATTTTGTGATAGTTATTCAGTAATTATTTGGGTGACTCCGTTGGACGATCGCTCATCGAGGAAAAGCCCTGTCCCACTTATCAGTTTAGATATCTAGACTATCTGGGGCTCAATTAGGATCTTCTTTAAATATTTGTTTAGGGCTTATCAGTATTGATAAAGGAATTCAGTTGGCTGTGGTCAGAAAGGGTGGTTTCCAAGCTTTACTGATCTGAAAAATCATTAGAGTGAGCTTACGGGGACTCGGATTCTATGTACATTAGGTCATAGTTGGAAATCTGTGAATCACAGTCGCAACACAGTATGAGTTTGTTTCAAATTAGTTCCCTTAGTTTGCCAAAAACATTATTGTTGGATGGTTAGTTTATTATCAAAAAATACTGCAAGTCGGAAATACAAACAAAGACAAATATGGAAAGCGTAGTAAAGTGATAAGATTTGTGAGTCATATATGTAGAAACTACGGATTAAAATGCATTCAATTAAAACTTGAGTGTTTTTAACGAGAAAAAATCATATATTACCCGCAAAATTTGCTTTTCTCATTTTTTTACGACTATAGATAGCGGTTCCCTTGAGTAACAACCTCTCGAAAACTGTGCACTTCCTCAACTACACGGGTCTCAGTGCCAACACCCTGCGCGACAACTTGGGAGAACACTACGGAATCGACTACACCTCCAATGGCAAGCAGGTGGACTTCTCCACCACCTTCGGTGTGCTGTTCGCCGGAGTCACGGGCATCATGGCAGGGGCGAACATGTCCGGGGAGCTCAAGAACCCGGCGAAGAGCATTCCGTGCGGCACCTTGTCCGCGGTGGCCTTCACCTTCGTCTCCTATGTCATCCTCTCGTTCCTAATGTGCTGCACCACCCCCTACTTCACGATGCAGAACAACTACCTATTCCTGCTGCCAGTGAACCTGTGGCCCCCATTCACCGCCATCGGCATCCTGACGGCCACCTTCTCCACCAGCCTGAGCAATCTGATTGGTTCCAGCAGGGTCTTGGAAGCCCTGTCGAAGGACCAAGTTTTCGGAAACCTGCTGAACTTTGTGCTTCGCGGGACGTGGAAGGGAAACCCCATTGCCGCCGTGGTGACGAGCTGGTGCCTCGTGGAGTGCATCCTGCTGATTGGGTCCTTCAACATCATCGCCCAGATTAACTCGGTGCTGTTCATGCTTGCCTACTTGGCCACCAATGTGGCCTGCCTGGGCATCGAGCTGACTGGAGCGCCCAATTTCAGGCCGCTGTTCAAGTACTTCACCTGGCACACGTGCCTCATTGGACTGCTGGGTACCCTGGTGATGATGTTCGTGATCAACCCTATCTACGCCTCCGTCTGCATTATCTTGTGCCTCATCCTGGTGATTGCCCTGCATCTGTTCTCGCCCGCCACTCAGGCCGCCCAGTGGGGATCCATTTCCCAGGCCCTAATGTTCCACCAGGTCCGCAAGTACCTACTGATGCTGGATCCCCGCAAGGACCACGTCAAGTTCTGGCGTCCCCAGATCCTTTTGTTGGTCTCCTCGCCGCGATCCTGCTGCCCGCTGGTGGACTTTGTCAACGATTTGAAAAAGAGTGGTCTCTACATCATCGGCCACGTGAAGCTGGGCGACTTCAAGGACTCCCAGGACGCCGAGAACAACCAGCAGTGGTGGTCCTTCCTGGACCACATGCGGGTCAAGGCCTTCACGGAGGTAACCGTTAGCCGGAGCATCCGCGAGGGAGTCCAGCACCTGATCCGCCTGTCGGGCATTGGAGCCATGAAGCCCAACACCATCATTCTGGGATTCTACGACAACGAGGCGCCGAGGGACTTTTTCCAGAAGTAAGTCACTGCGCTGATAGTGTGTGGCGGAAATCCTAATCTAATTTCTAATCTTTCGCAGCGGTTCCTCCCCCTATAAAACGGATGACTTCAACAATGGCGAGATCCAGAACTTTCCCATTCGCCGCGACGGGGATCCCAAGCACTTCCAGGTCGAGGAGTATGTGCAGATTCTGTGCGACACCCTGCGGATGAAGAAGAACCTCTGCCTGTGCAGGAACTTTCAGCGCCTGGACAAGAACTTCATTGCCCAGTGGGTTCAACACCTCGCATACAAACTGATATATCCTAACAAATCCTTTTTTTCGATGCAGAAGCAACCACGTTAAGTACATCGATGTGTGGCCCATCAACGTGTTCAACCCCACTCTGGGGGATCCCTTCGACATGGTGTCCCTGTTCATGATGCAGCTGGCGGTGATAATGCTGGCCAAGTGGAAGCACTTGCGAGTGAGGATTTTCCTGTGTGAGACGAACGAGACGCGAGCAGTCGGGTACGCAGGAAGCACTCCTTATCACGTCCCCCACCAAAACAATTTCTCTCTTTTTCCAGCACCTTTGATACTCAAGCCCCGCAGATGGAGATCTTCTCCAAGCAGAAACTGGAGCAGTCCCTCAAGGAGCTGCGCATCTCAGCCCACATTGTGGAGATCCAGGAGTGGAGCCAGGACACTGACTTCAGCCGTCGCGCCCGCACCCTGAGGCAGTACACCGCCCAGGCGGACAACGTGATGCTGGAAGACGACGATGAGGAGTCCCTGAACCGCTCGCTGCTCTACATGCAGCGGGCCAACCAAATCATCCGCGAGCGCTCGGACCAGACGGCCTTGTCGTTTATTTATCTGGCAGCCCCTCCAAAACTGGCGACTCCCGACTTTGCCCAGCGCAGCGCCAGCTACATGGAGCTGCTCACCGAACTGACCGCCGAGTTGCCGCCCACCATTCTCGTCCACGGCGTCAGCACGGTGACCTCCACCACGCTGTAAGCCGGACAGCCAGCGGGCAAGCGAATATTTTACGAGTGATACGAATCCAGCGTGCAACCGGATTGAACCAATTGCGAGGGGTGGCTGATATGTGGATATATCTTATGATTGTTGTGTACGTTTCTGTGTGTGCTTCAAGCTTTATTCGTAATCAAGAAACAGGCACTAGGGTGAGTCGATTGAATATTCATTTTCCGCCTTGAGAGCGTGAACAATTATTCCTCAAAGCGGAGCATAGTCGACTGGCCCTGCATTAATTATTGCATCTGTAGGTAACCTTTTATTTTAGATAATTTAATATTTATTCACACACACACACGTTGATGTCACGAGCCCGAATCCCGCATCCAAACCATAATCATATCAGATAATACAATTTTAAGCTAATCCATGACCATCTACTGGCGATTGTCACATGATATCATACTTTAAAGTTTCAACTCACCCAACCGAACCCACACCGATATTAACCCGTTTGTGATTGAATATCAATATCTGCACTAGACAGGCCGAAGGGCAAAGTATTAGATAACCGTCTTAGAAATCGGTTGTAAAACAAACAACTTCATGGCGCACTTAGTTTTTAAACCACTCTTGGCGGCCCACAGTTCCGGCGGACGTTGATGGATTGTTTTTAGAGGAATATTGCGCGTGCTACTGTCCGCGGAACTGTAACTAGCCGTACATTATTGTAATCGTAGCGTTCAATGTAATCTGTTCTTTCCAATAATTTAAATAAAGTTTTAGTGATATTTTACATTCCTACTAGTATTCGACTATTTATTCCATCTCAGTGAAGTCACAGCCGGATCCCCTTATCGGAGCATCCATTAACACTTTCTTTCCGTTTCGGAATCGAGAGGCCTTATCTGGCGGGGACTTTGTTTGTGCATCGTTTACCGCTACCATTAAATGCTTATTAAGATTGGACATCGGGTCACGTGTAAACTAGAGGGCACTGAGGGACTAACGAAATCGGGAGCCCAGGCAGACGACCCAATAGAGTCATAAATGTCAACGGAATACGCTCCGGCCTGTTGTTGCACTATTTATGTGATGACAATTTATGATACCCATCAAGGATGGTCGGCGGGGCACCTCAGGCTCGCCCTGATTACCTGGGCATCCTGGGCAGGGATCTCTGTTTTTGTTTCTATCCCAATCACGGCTCGAGTGTCAATAAATTCCCATAAATGCACGCAATTGCCTGACACTTTCCAGGGCGCTATCCTGTGTATCCTAACGGACACTTGAGATAGCAAGGGTTACTGTAGAGTCCTTGTTAGAGCCCTGACGTGTGTCCTAAGTTATGGCATGGGTTTTGGGGAAATTGTCGCATGCCCCGAGGGATCTAAGGAGCATATTTAAATATTTATAAATGGATCTATCTGACCTGAATTAAACAGCCTTAAACTGTTTAGGATTCAGAAGTTCTAGGAATCTGAATACGACTTCCAACCATCTATAACTTTAAGTCCCTGGCAGACATACAGTCTGCATTTTTTATGCACATCTGTAACCACAACAAAAATTACGTGGAAACCAATAAGTAGTTTCCTTTAATAATTCATAATTCCGGATTATTACATGGCAATTTGGATCGGCACACTGGGAAACAGGTCGAAGTCACTTCGCCTCACAATGGCAACAATAGCCAGAAAGGATCCTTTGTGTTGGCCTTTGTATGGCCTAGAGGGCTCAACAAGTGTCGGGGAAAAGGACAATAAAGATTCCCATGGAATTCCTTTCTGACTCCGGGACACAGATACGTAATCGTATTTTCGCAATTTAGCGCCAACGACTAATCCGCAAAACGAAAACGATTAATCTGGACAGGGAAAACCAGAAACACGCAACCACCAGACGGGCCGAAGGATTATCATCAGATGGCCTATTGTTGGGCAGAGAGGTGCCTACTTTCAACCAGAACCGCCCACCAACCCGGCCTATTGTTGCTATTTTGACAGAGCCCTCTCGAGGCGACTACCTGGGACCGCTCTCACAGGCAGAGATGCTAATTGGAAAACCCCGGCCTCTCCATCGGGGCGTTGCCGATCTTTAGGCTATCCGCGAACCTTTCTCCCGAAAATATTGCAGCATGATGCTTGATATGGGATCGGGACCAGATCAGGATCGACCTGCGGTCGCGTGGCAAAGTCGCTCCTTCAGATCCCGATTCCGATCATGATCCATCAGCGGTCATCAAACGTCAGGATCGCTTTGTCGGCTCACGGCTTTGTTCCTTGACAATTTGTGTGAAATATCTCCGGTGCATCATTTGTACTCTTTAGCCATGGCCGGCGCTTCGGCGATTGTTTTGGCCGTTTTCTATGGAAACTGGGCCAACTATTCGAATTGATTTTCCCCTTAATGCTGCGAGTATGCCGAGTTAATTAACCTTTCGCTTCGGCCACTTGAAAGTGGGCTTGAGACAGGTCCTGTTTTGGCCAGAAAAATAGAGCGGAGAGAATTATGGAGGGGATCTGAGGGACAACAGATTGTATTTGCAACTAGAAGGGAGCTATGGATGAGGTCAACATCATGCATGGACATGGATTACTTTAATGCACTAGCATATCTTACATTTAAGGTTCAACTGCTTTCGTGTGAAGTTCTGGGAGAAAGCCATCGGAAAGATACTTATTTGCCTTTTGACCCAATAAAGACCAATTGGCTAAAATCGAAAGTTGCAAACTGCAAACCACACAACGGAATTCTTTTCTTTTGTTCCTTCCAAAGCCTTCCGAAAACCTCAAACAAACAGGACTTGCTAGACCACAGACATGCAACAAAGGTGCTCCAAGGGGGATCGGATGTGGATCGGGTTCGGGATGAATGCGAAAATTATGGAAATTATTCCCACAAAGGCGGAAGGCTCTCGCAAGTCTTTTGTTTGATCGCCTCCTGACCTTGGCTGCAATTGTTTGAATATAAAAAGCCAATATGCGAGCCAAAGCACAAAGGGCTATGATTACAGACGGTAGCCAAATGACAGGTCATCCAAAAAAGCAGGCCATAGCTGGTACAGTGAATACCTGGCAGAAGGAGATCGCACCAGAGGCCGCAAAGAGTCGAGGGGCAATTAAACGTTTTGACCGCAAGCCAATTAAGGGCACGGGTTTCGTCTGCAGGTCCCAGGTAGCCGGAGGAGACGGCGAATCAGGTAGCAGGTAAGGCGAGCAGCCAATCACGTTGAAGACACCATCCCGCATGCTGGTATATAAGCGTCAGTCCTCCATCAGCTTCTTCAGTTATCCTTCGATCCTCGAACAGCAATCATGTTGACCAACAACGAAACGATGGAGCAATTCTACTACCACGAAGATGCCGCAGTTCTGCCACAATTCCTGGACAACATTCAGGGCAACGATGCCTTTCAGCAACTGGAGCAGCTAATATACCAACAGGACTTTACCTGCAACGCCGACAGCCTCTCCGAGGGCACCAGCAGCTGCTCCATGGAGCAGTTGTACTACGACACGCCGGCTGTCCTGGAACTGGAGCACATGCTGAGCGCCCAGGAGCAGCAACAGACCTTCTCCAACTCCCTGGGAAAGAGCCAGGCCAGAAGCACGAAATACTGGAACAAGCAACACCGCAGCAAACCCTACGACAAGCTATCCATCTCCTCCGCCTCCTCATCGTCCTCCAGCTCGAGCTCCGGATGCGGCGACAACGTCCTGCGAAAGCGTCGTCTGGCGGCCAACGCCCGGGAGAGAAGGCGAATGAACAGCCTGAACGACGCCTTCGACAAGCTGCGGGATGTGGTGCCGTCTCTGGGCCACGACCGGCGGCTTTCCAAGTACGAGACCCTGCAAATGGCACAGGCCTACATCGGCGACCTGGTCACCCTGCTCTCCAGAGACTACTGATCGGGAAGGCTCAGGATCATCCTCGTTCCTTTCCAGCAACACCATCGACCTAGTGGAAAACTTATAAAGGCTGTTAGTTTTAAGTTATTATCGTAGTTTTAAATGCATTTAGCTTAAAAATAAGTTTAATAAAAGATATTAGAAGAGAAAATTAAAAATGGGTTTTAATTCTATGACGAAGGATTAGTTTGGAGGTTATCTTTTCAGGACTTTTCCTTGAGGAACTATGGGGCTATAAGCTATTTGTAAGAAGAGGTTATTTAGATCATGAAATAAATCTTAAATTAAAATTAAGTTAACCTCTGGTTTTAATTACCTCCTTAGTACGTACCATCCATCAAATCCTGGTTACAGATCCACATTTGTTTACATTCTCCACACTCTCATGTCAGCCCATTCCCGAAAAGGGTATCCTTGAAGGAGGAGCGCGGCATGGCTAAGTAGGGAGTGGGTCACGCCCCAGGAACCAGAGACATAGGTCAAAACATCAGTTGCCGGCCCAGAATTAATGAGTTCCGACTTCCGACAAAAGGAACTCCAAACACAGAAGTGATTAAGTGCCGCAAACGTCAACAGGTAAACACTCGGGATAAACACAGTCGCCGCTTCAGATCCTTGGGACGGTAGGACGAAAATTGATTTAAACATAGTCATTTGTAAATGGTTTGGGAACGTGGGAGGGGTCTTGGGAGCCGACTTCCTTCCAGTTCAGAGAAACAGAAAGAGTTTCGATATCACATTGATGTTTGTATTTGTAAACATATAGACTTTACAATCTTAAATACTCTAAGCCTAGTGTTTAACTAGAAAGCCCAAAATGAATTGTAAAGAAAGGCTCTTCGCAGGTTTCTTCAAAATAAAACCCTCAAATGCCATAAAAGTTAATTACACAAAACTACAAAATACATTAATTTAATATTTAAACGCAATACCAGCACAAGTACACCTCTACGACAAAGTAAACTAAAAGCAATCAACTTTTACTCTTTTATTGCTAAACATTTACTTGGGTTTTAATTGGAATATTTATTTTTATTTAAGTTTGAAGGTCAGTTGGAAATTACAATGCAGTGAAGAGCAGGCCAATCATCAATTCATTTTAGACTTATTTTAAAACTATTTACAATACCGATTACGCTTAATTCTATGATAAGCTTAATATTAGAGGCAATGGCGCATTAACTAAACTAAGCGGATAATGTGGAAGCTAAGGCATCATCCTAAGGTTAAGGAGCTTCAAAATGATCTGTGAATTAAGTCTTAGAAGCGGTTGTCTCGGACTTCCCTTGGAGGAAGGCCCAAGGACGTTGGCGAACAGGGAGGATAATGGATAGTGTTCTTTAATTCATTTATTCTCTGCTGGAAATCATTTTTATTTTAAATATTATATTCTCAAAACATTTAAATTGTTTGCTAAAAGTACAGGCTAAACGAATTCATATAATGCGCTCTGAACACTGTCAGACCAACGACCTCGCCCACCGCCCCAAGGGAAACCCATCCAGCCAGTTCGGGTAATGTGGTCCGTGTGTTCTGTACAATTAAATTTGCTTTTCGATTAAAATATCAATAAAATCAAGGTGAGATAGCTGAGGACTAAAACTAAAGCCGAGAGTGTTTCTCTCCTGTTTTTTGTTGTCAGTGTGATTGTGAAGATCTACATAATACGTAATTACATCATCCAAGCTTTACCGCGCATTCGTCCACGTCCTCGCATCGGACCTCCGGGACCGCCGCCTCGCGGGAAAAATGGCCGGGGCCCAGGACCAGGGCCTTCGAATCCAGGACCGGGCATTCGCTGAAACGGTGGCCTAAATGGGCCGTTCGGGCCGGGACCATTCCATCCTCGACCCCTGCCTCGCCCTCGTCCTGGCATTCCTCCGTCCGGGCCGTTCATAGGAAATCTTTGAAAAGGTTGGAAGGGTGATCCGAAGGGAGGGCGCGGTGGAGGCGGCGCTGGACCACCGCCTCCGCCCATTTGCATTGGAGGCATTTGATTCCATCCCTGCTGCTGGTGTTGAAGCTGCTCCTGGTCCTGATCCGGCATGGGAGGCCCCATGAATGGATTGCTGGGCTCCCACGAGTTCATGAACTCCGACGGAGTTTCGAGCAAGACAGGACGGGACGCCGAATCGCCATTTGCCTCACCATCTCCAGCCGTGTTATTTGGTTCTATGGATTATTATTGTTATAAATAGCTTCGATTTGAATGCAACTCGTATTACCTCTCAAAGACTCATCAATGTCGTCGTCCGACATGTCCATGTCCACCACCATGTCTGAAGGATCATACCTAGCAGAGCCATCCACACGATCCGATTCAGATGAAGAACCTAAAATGGGAATTTTGTGATGAGTTTAAGATCTTGTTTTTGAAGTATCTTTATACTTACTGGCATTCGATTTATGGGGAGAGCTGACCTTCGTCTTGGCGTAGCTATTTCCTGGCGGCGCCATCATCCCATCCTCACTAGGATGCGGTACGATCCTATAGTCAACATCCCCACCAGTAAACTCCTAGGAAATACAATATCAAAAGTAATTAGTATTCCAAAGTTCTTAAATTACTATCTAACTACTTAAACTATCTCCATTTATTCGTACATCTAACATCGGAAAATAAGGGTCTACCTTTTCTGCTCCGCCCGGCGAACCAGTTAGGGATATAAGATTTCGGTGGTCAATGTCCACCAGCTGCCTGGTCTTGTCCTTGCTCAGTCCCAGCTTGGCCCCGAAGTCAAAGGCAGGTGGGAGCTGCAGCGTCCGATGGTCCACATCCTCGGCGCCCAGCGCTGCTGAATCCGTGTGCAGATGCTCGTTATATTCGATGGGCGCGGCTCCTGCGCTTCCCTTCCGCTCAAAATGGGGCGGCGAATGCGGCGTCGACTGGTTCGCGTACGAAGAGGAGCTGGCCCCGCTGCTGTTCAAGCTTGTGTCTAGCGCCGTCCATGACATGCTCATGTTCCAGGTGCTGTTGAAGTCGTCCCCCGCTCCCGCTGGCCCTATAGATGGCGGCAGGGGTGGCGGTGGCATAGACGAAGGAGCGTATTGACTCTCCTGGCTTCCGTTGCCCGCTGCGCTTCCGTTTCCTCCATACATATGGGACGGGGGTGGCGGCACATACTCCTGGCTGCTGGAGCCGAATAGAGGAGGATTGGGCGTGTACTCCGCAGATCCTCCACCGAGACCAGGAATGGAGCTATTATTCGAACTAGAGATCGGCTCCGGCTTGTAGAAGTTGGCATTCGGGTTGTAGCCCTCGTCGTCCGACCGAGATCCGATTACCTCGATGGCGCTGCCCTGGTCCTTCGAGTCCCGCTTGAAGTCGTTTATATCGAATGGCAGCTTTCCACTGTCCAGGTAACTGGAAAAGCCGTTCAAGCCTCCGCCAAATAGGCTCTGAAATGCAAGCAAGAGTAAGTTGCCCGCCATTGAGTTTCTGTAAGTTCACTCACCATTCCCAATGATGAGTTATTCTCTTCGGGCAACTGGAGATCGGCATCCCGCTCCGGCGAGGGGGCGTTTATGTCCGGGGATGGAATGGGACTCGCCAACGTGGGTATGGTCTCGTCCAGCTTTCTTTTAACTATTTTTATCCTAGTCCCGAAACTTTTGTAGGCCTGGGGGAGAATACACATTAGTCCCGTGAAAAGCAGTATGATGTTGGAAAGACTTACACTTGCCACCACCTTCACTTCTTTCCCTTGGTGCTCGTAGAACTTCTTAGCTGCCTCGAGGCTGGCCAGGACCGCCTTTCTGCTCTTGATTTCGTTTTGCAGGTTCTTGTTGTAGGCGTTTATGAAGGCCACACACCGCTCCACCTCCTTCTCAATGTCGCCCGAGTGGCTCTTGTCCTTCAGCTGCTGCTTGATGACTTCAATCTCAAAGGTCGGCGGCTTGGGTAGCTTCTTCATGCTTTTGTCAGTGGCTTCCGCCAGCTCCACGCACTCCCGCACCTGGGCTATCAGAGTGGCGTTCTGGAACTCGTCGCTCACGTCGACCTGGGACTTTTTGGGGGGTGCTATGTTGAGGAGCCCGCTCAGATCGCTTAGATACTCCTCATTGTAGATCTCTCGCTGCTCCCAGATCTTGAATATGCGCAGGATTTTGTCCTTGACGCGTTCGTCTCTGAAGAAAGAAATAGAGATTAAAAGAGTGCTTTGTTGATGAAAGAAAGCTTCAATTTTCATGAAACACGTGCTAGAAAGTGAAGAACTCGTGAGTAATCTGATAACCGTATTTTTAATGGTTCTGTGCCATCCTTTAGTAAGCGGATACTCACCGAACCATGGTGGTGGCTCTCTGGAGCGCCGTGGCCCAGCACTCGACAAACTCGTAGCGCTTGCGCTTGCTGTACTGGATGACATCGTTGGCCAGGTAGAAAAGCACGAGGCGGTGATCCACGCGAACTGCACAATAAAAAGCCATAAGCTGGCGAAGATTCGAAAGGGCGGGTCGCCCACCACCACTCACCTCTCTTGAAAACATTAAGCCAGCACTGGATGATCTTTTTGTGGTTGGAGCGATGCTGCAGGCACCAGTTGGACATCTGCTGAATGCCATCCTGCGTGTCCTTCAGGGCCTCCAGGCGCGTCTCGAACAGCTCCTCGTCGAAGGTCTCCGTCATTGTGTATAGGTTCTATACCGGCTCAGCACATTACAATTGTTTACGACTGGTTATGCCGCTGCCCTCCGGCCAAGCGATGTATTTTTATATACCTCTTTTCCCACACGCGCACTTTTTCACCCACCGTTTTGGCGCTCTAATGGGACGCCACGACCGCTGTTTCTTCGCCTATGGAACAGTTTTTAGCCGCCGAACTCTTTTCTGTCGCTTGCTGCACGCTTGCAGACGATTTTATCTATTTATTCGTGCAAAACTAAACAAATTAGTTGAAACAAACAGATAAATCGAGGCGAGGGTGCCAGACAGTGGGTTTGCATGGGAGATGCCACCCGGGTGAATGGGCTGGTGGCCTTGCCACCACAGGTGAGCAGCCCTTTTAGCACTGCCAACCTGAACCAAAAGAGCGTCCGGCAACGCTAGGGGAGTTTTGAGCGTTATGTGGGTTTTTTTTTAAATCAAGCTTTATGAATTTAAGTATAATCGCCTGAATTAATCAATTATCAAGTTATAAATTAAATATTATTTTATATGTAGTATATCCGCCGAAAATCTTCAGTAAAACTAAGAAGGGAACTTAAAAGGTAACACATTTTTTAGAGATACTTCTGTTCAGAACCCGGGCTTTTCCCGAATATTTTTGTAATTTATTGCACTTATTGGAAAGGATAACAATTGACTAAAGGTAGGTTAATAAATAATTCTATCTTTTCATAGTTTTTACCGTATGATGCCTGTTTTTAGTCTTACGTATCTTACGTACCTGGCTTTAGACCTAACTGCCCAGATCCGCCATGGTCGGTCGCTTGGATCCAAAGACGCCATTTTGGAGCTGGGTACTAAAGTTGTATGCTGATTTTGAAAGAGTGAGAAATCAGGAAGAGCCGGGCTGTACAGCTAGTTCTAATCTTGAGAGTAAAAAGTCCACCAATGGATGTTCAGGTCCTTTCGAGCAGGATCTACAGATCTAGAAATTTGTACTTTTAATTTTCCCATATGTTCAATACAATAACGATATGTTTTAAGGCAAAATGTCAAAAAAGCTGTTCCTCTTGTCAAACAAAAACAAGCTTAGCAGACAATAGGTTTAATTTTTAATTATATTTCAAGGTTTCTTTTGGCTTAAGCCTGATGGTTCAATTACAGTATCAATACTGTAATTGACTGAAAAACCTATTAATTTATTAACTAAATAAGCTAAAACATGGTCCATGTAAGCACCGTCTTTCTGCGCATGTGCGGTAGTCGGTCTCGTGCTCCATGTAAAGGCGTACATCGAGCAGATCCGGTTCAGTCGGGTGAAATTGGTCAAAAGGAGCGGATGCTCTCTATCCTTGAGTGATTGTTTTGTTTTTTGCTCCAAAAGTTGTTGTAAATCTCGTAAATTTGCCGGTACGGTGACACTCTGTGTTTATTTCATTTAAATGATAAGATTTTGTCTCCCAGTGCGTGGGAGTATTTGTTTACCTCGCGTTGGCTGTTGTTGCTGTGGACTTAAGTTATTAGTTGCCGGCATATGGTGTCCTCAATAGAGATGTCCTAGTGAGCTGTACTACTGAAAGCCAATCCTTTATGTATTTTATTTGAATGGAATGCAGGGCTATCCACTGACTTACAAACTCCACTCTCTGTTTGATGACAATGTAATTGTTTCCCTTCCGCTCGAGCTAGCAACAAGTGATAATTTTAATCGGGACTCGTGCGTGAAAGTTCTCCTGATTAATGTCACGTACGCAGCGCTTGCGGCTGTTTTGATTTTGTTGTTTTTCTTTATTTCGGTTGGACGAGAGCAACAAAAACTAATCAAACCCAAGGACAATATTTGGCGATAGGGAAGTGAGGAAAAACAACCCATATTTGCTTTGCTTTAAGGTTTCTCTTTTGGTTTAAGTGGTGAGCCATAACACTTTATCGGAATATGATTTTCGGCAAAGCGTTTCAGACTATTGAGTCTCCTTAAACAGTCCTTTTGCCTTACAAATTCAAAAAAAACTGTTTCCAGGAAGTCTCCTTTTCAAATCCAATCCCTTGACAACTGTAAAGTGAGCAACTGTTTGGCGTTTTCCTTTTCGCCGGCGCCTCTTCCTCATTGCCATTAGGGCCATGTAATTATTCTGATTACTTGGCTCTGGCTCACAGACAGGACACCAATCACGGCAGCTACAACACAACTACAGCACCGACAGCCAGCCGTGCTGCGCCACTGACCCAGTGCCAGTTCCCAGTTACGTCGGATCCATTCCGTTACGCTCCACTCCTCCCTTCCGTCCGGCTCCGCTTGGCGTGGTTCTGGGCATTTGACCAGCGTCGCCACACGGGCAGGGAAATGCGCCGTAGCAAATAATTACGCTTCAATTGCTGTTCTCCCTTCAAGGACTCTTGATTGTCTCGGGCTCTCAGAAAGTTTTATGGAAAAACGCAATTTAGTGGCGCTTTAAGTTCCCAAAAAAAAACCAAATAAAATTAAACCAAAACTTAATAGGGTGAGTATTATTAGATAAGACTTCCTGTTTTGAAATATTGCACAAATATGGAACTTTAAGGATTTTTAAATATAGCTCAAGCAATCATCATCAAATCGTCTGATGAGAGACGAAATGCCTCTAACGATTTCTTTTTATTAATATTTTTTGATTTTGCATAAAATAAATAAAAAACAACAATACAATTTCTTATAAGACACAAATAAGTACATTTTTGGATTGGATTTTTGTTTTAATTTTCTGAAGAAGTCCCTTGGAAAAAGTGTGGATCCTTATATACAGCCATAAAGTCCATAACTCTGCCAATTTTCACCCGACCCTTGAGCACAATACTCTTAACAATTTGTATATTCATTAAACATACATTTTTATCAAAAACTAATTATTAAATCATGGATTCACATTATTTAACCTTTTTTTAAGAGTCCCTTTGGAAAATTTTCGATTCTCATACATGGAGCCTTGCTAGTCCATAACTCTGTTAGTTTTTATTTGAGCGTTAAGCGGAGATTTCACGATTTCTAAATCAATTTTGTATCAATCAGAATAAAAACCTGAAAACAAATTTTTCGATCAATTTTTTTTTTTAATTTTCTTGGGCAGTCCCTTATAGAAAAATTAAGGATCTTCATAAAAGGCCACTTCCATGTAAATAACTCTGTAAATTTTCATCCGATCGTTAAGTGGAATGGTTCAAATGATTTACAAATCGATTCTCCATCATCCAAAAATAGGAATATTTTTCCCAAAATATAGGAATATTTTTTTCGATAAAGATTTTTCTTAAATTTTTTTATGGAGTTCCTTCCGAAAATGCCTATTTCTTATAAATGACCTTCAGCCATGTTCTCAACTGTTTCAATTTTTAACTTATCCTTGTGCGGTATATGTCTTAAGAAATTCGTTTATTCCTCTCCCGAGCCGTAGTAAATTTTCTTTTAATCCGGAGTATCTTGATTGAACTAATTTTTGAGTTGCTGGCCTCGTTTTCCTGCAACCCTTTGCCAAGGACATGGGATCCCATGACTTTAAATGAACTTGTGTTGGGCGGGTCTAACCCGCTTCCTGCGAATCGACGCCCCCACAGTGACACACAAACACACATACAGCGATAATCTCAATTAGCCCACACCTTTGGCGTTGCGAGAAACAATAAACACTAATTAGGAAGCAATTCCGACGACAGCATCGCGCAATTGAAAAGCCCTGTGCTTTCCACTCGTGTAACCTGGTTTCCCGGGTCCCTGCAGGGACTTGTCCTGTGCACACACACACAGGCACAGGCGTTTGTCAATTAGTTGCTCATTCGCAGGCTAAGCTTTCCACAGGATGCCCGCCCATCCTTCCCAGGCTGCCTGGCAGACTGTGACGCAGTTTCATCTACTTCCTGGAAATTTAATCAGCATTTTTCCGCAGTTACTTATGATTGATAGTTGAGTTATCCCCGATGGCACGCTCAAGTCGATATGCACTTTGATTCCCGTTTTCCACTCGAGTTGCATTCGTTTTACTTTTCAACTTTTGATTTCCACGTCAATCAATGTCGCAGCCAAAGAAAAGTTTAGCATACACAGAGGCAGTAGCAGACATGTGGGGTGAATGCCGACATATCCCCGCATCTGTTTGTGACCTGTGGGCGGGTTGGCAAGGGGTAACCAAGGAGGTTACTGAAATAAATTTCCAATGGCTCCCATCAACGTGAGTTGGCAAAGGTCGACGTCATCGGTGGCATCCCACGCTCGGTGGCAGGAAAACACATCCTGCAGAGTAAACAACACGCCAACGTCACTATTGAATTAGTACGATTGGACTGGATTAGGGTCCACGATTTCAATTTAAAATTTAAATAATCATCAGTAGGAGTACTCATTTTATTCTAAAACAACTGATTACTTTTAAGCTAAAGGGGCTGGTAGTGTTGGACCCTCAATCAAAGAATATCCATCATGCTTCGTGCCCTGGGGCTGCATTACCTGGGTGGTCGCGGCCCTAATGGCAGCCTGAGTGCATTCCCCTGCCAGCGGACACATGATGGATGGCCACAAGCCATCTCATCCGAGCAATTGTGTCGCCCAACCCACACACGTCCAGGGAGAAAGTCAGAAGCCACTTTGGCGCTTTCTTTTTTCATTTGCATACATTTCATGTGTGAGGACGACAACCCGCAGAGTCGCACACACTCGCACATCCAGTGACAGCTTGACAAAGGACATACAGGAGCAGGGCCACCGGAGGGATACGTGTATGATGAGAAAGCTGCCGTGGCTGGCACTTAATAAGTCAACATGGCTTCGCTCATATATGATATATGACAATTTACTCTTTACTCCTTGAAGGGATGAGAGGACGAGGTATCCCTGCAATATAATGTATCATATGTCATGTTGATTTTAAACACTTGAAAGTAAGTTAAGATAGGTGACAGAGGAGAGAAAGATTTTAAAGTCCTTATACTTTTAATCAGCTTAGAAATGGGGATTAACCATATCCTCTATCACCAGCCTCCTACTATCTGGTTTCTCGAACTAATGAGCCACAGCTCTCACTCATTCTGCCAGCCATCATCAGCATTGTTCTGGTAATTCATTGCCATGACCACGCCCCTTGGAGGACGCCTCCTCCTGGTGCTCCACGTACCACAGCTTGGCTTGCATAATTAGCTAATTGAGCGCTCAGCGTTGATGATTCGACTGACAACGAGGAAAAATGGCTCTCAATGCCAAAAAATTGTAAACCGTGCCCACAAATTGAAATTTTTGAAAGGCAAACAATCCAAAAAAGCCGAAAAGCGCTTAAAAAGGCATTAGCTTGAAATGGTTGGCGCTCTAGGCTCCTCTAGGATGTGTTCCATTCCCTCAGCCTGGCC